TCAACTATTTCACTGAGATCTTAGGGATCGATATCTACTCCATGTACATCTAATCAACTCTCACCTTATGTCCCTCAAGATTTAAGATTATGATTTCAAATTGCTGTTGAATTTGGCCGTTAACCATCTGTTAATTGTCCTTCTGAGTGGCCAACTAGGAGATTCAAATATCCACTCTACATATCTCGTTGAATGTGTCTATCCATTGTGCTACATCTGCAACAGCTAGCTACAAAATTTATGTTGACTGCTAGAAGACCTTCTGTTTTGCTAAATATTTGAGACAAGATTTAAAGAAACAAAAGGATTATCAGAAAAGAATAAGGCAAATAAAACTTACTAATTTATGTCAGTCACCAAGGTTACAGAAATCATCAGTAAGATACTTAGGCTTAATCTTTGGGATTCTTAGCCCTTGTTTAATGGTAGAATTATTTTATTTTCTTTAAAGAATAGTGCACTTGGTTTTCCCCCGAGGACATGGGGAAGTTACTTGCCTTCTATAGATAGATAGATGGATGGATGGATGGATGAGACTTTCACCAGTGCCCATTTAAGATCATAGACTGCTCTGGAGGTGACCCAAGAAGTAGGTTTGTTTGTCTGTGGTGAAGCCTTGAAAAACCCCTGTGTTTATACCAGGACAGCTATTTTCTCTGCCACTCTTTTTCTGATCCCAGAAAAGAGAAGTGGATCAAGCCCAGCAGTGAGGAGCTATATTGCACAGATCAATGGCTCCAAAAAATAAGTGAAGTTGAAAGAAAACAGTTACCTAGTTCTCTTGCTGTTTCCTTGAGAGAGGTGGAAAATGGTTACGTGCTAAATGTTGACCAAATGAAGCACGAAAAGCAAACGGATGGCACTGACAAGAGAGCCAAACTCCAAGCCCTGGCAACAGTGCTGAACTCCGGCTGGCCCCTGCTAAGGGGGAAGTAATTCCCTTTTCTAAGAATATAAGGACAAATGTGCTTACAGAAAAGAAACCAGGGGAGGAAATGTCCCCTGTGCTGCAGAAGAATGAGAGAAGAATTCATCAAGGAGCAGTTTCTTGCACAAAGTGAGAAGGCAAGCCAGCTCCAAACGTCTGTTGGGCAGCAGCCTGGCATGCGGGGGATCGCTGTCCCTAGGCACCACCTCACTATTTGTGCCCAACTTTTGAGAGAGCTTTCCACCAGTCAGCGCTTCGCCCACCCACAGGTACCCGTTTCTAGGGTACGTTGGTAGAAGAGCTCAACTCACAGTCACCATTTAGTTTTTCCTAGATACAACCTGGTTTTCTGGAAAAAAAAAAACCCTCCATGATCACAGAGGTCTTCTCGATGTCTGTGCCCAGAGCATGCACGTATTTTATAAGGATGTTATTGCATTAGTCACACAAAGGAAAACAACTTTTTCTGAGCTGGCCATCTACAGAGGTGCTCTGCAGCTTGGCTGAGCAGCGATTTCACTGACAGCCATGGGCTGATAGAGGAATGAACAGCCTTTAAGTACCAAACTGAAGAAACTTCACAGAGAAACCCATCACACACCAAATGAAACTGGCTTTTTTTTGCAGCTGACATAATGGATGTTTTTCTCAAACATCTACAGATTTTTTGCTTTCACTGGGTTGAAAACATATTCTGCAAATATCTGTATTTTTTTTTTTTTTGTTCTTAATCAGATACAATTAGGCAGCTCTAGCAGCTGTGAAGTTGGGAAGGCAAACACCAGCGACCTGTTTCTTCTTTCTTCTGGAAAAAAGGAAACGAAGGAGCAGTTTTAAATCGCAGTAGGAAAGATTTATTATGCAGTAACTTCAGAAAGCAGCTGGCCTCACACCGCTGTGGAAGAGGCAGTTACTCTTCTCATAACCCGAAGTTTTAAAAAGAGCTGCCCAAATAAAATCATGATAGCTGCAACGCTTGCTTCCAAGCCTCTGTCCCTGTGCGTCCCTGCACCGGCGGCCCAGCAGGACACGTCCCACGGGTGGCGGTGGCGCTGGGCCGCGGGTGGGAACCGGACGTTTATGGTGTGCTTTATTTCTGACACCTTCCCTCTGCGGGGCGGCTGCAGGTGCTGGGGAGCAAGCACGGGCAGACAGCAAACAGTTAACCGACGGCAGTTTTGCAAACATTTGCGAAGGGGGGTGCCGAGACAGGGACCCGTATTCCCCACCTTCCCGGCGGCGGGGAAGGCGGCGACGTCTCGGTGCTGCTCCGTAAGGACCCGATGCTCTAACCGAATCACGAATTCCTCCGAAATCCGGCCGCGCCGGCCCTGCCCTCCTCCCCCCGCCCCCGGGGCGCGGTGGGCGGTAAGTGCGGGGCGGGGAGGGGGGGACACGGGGCGGCGTGGGGGGGCGTGAGACGTGGGGGGGGGGGGGGGGGGGGGGCGGGATAAATGGCCGCGGCGGAGGCAGCGGAGCAGCGCTCGGTGCCTTCCCCGCGGGGCCGTGGGGCGCTCCCGGGCGCGGAGGACACCCCCCCCCCCGCCACTCCGCGGGCGAGTGTCCCACACCCACCCACCCACCCGCGCCGGTGTTCCGCGGGGGCCGCGCTGGCAGCCGCCGCGGGTGCCTCCTGCCGGCCCGCGCGGGGTCGCGGCGGGATCTTCGTGGGCTTTTTCCGCGGAATTGAGGTTTGTGTGGCATCCCCCCCGCCCCCGGGATGAATAGTGGGGAAAAAGCAGCGGGATTGTGTTTCTTTTTGTTTTCTCTCCTTCTCTTTTGTGGTTTTTGTTTGTTTGTTTGTTTGTTTGTTTGTTTTGTTGTTTGTTTGTTTTTTTGTGTGTGGGGGGGGTGGTTTTTTTTTTTGCTTGCTTGTTTGTTTTTAATGCGGAGGGTTGTGTTGTTCTGCAAGTCTGAAGGGTGTAAAGGGTGTAGCGACCTGCAGCGAAGGCAGTGAAAATGTTGGCTCAAGGAAATTCAGTTTTAGCCCAAGACAAAAAAGTTGTTCTTTTTTTTTTTTTTTTTTTTTTTTTTTTTTGGAGGGGATGGGGGATGGACAAAGCCTCAAGCTGATTCCAAATTCCTGGTTTGACCAGCAGGCTCAAAAATTAACTGTTCATGTAACTTCTGTGCATCACCGTGAGGCTGCACATGTATCTCTTCTCAAATAAACGGAATACATTTTAAGAATAGTTTAACTTTTTGATAGAAATCAAGGGGTAGAAATCCTGATGCTTTATAGTGTCAATCTTCCTCTCCTTCCTTCTCCTCCCTTGAATCTTCTGTGCCATTTACTTTGACAAAGGTCATGGATTTCTCCTCCGCTGTACTGGCTCTGTGGCATCTGTGTTCAGAACTAGAAATCTGAGAACTGTGTCAAGTTAAGTCCTGGTTAAAACTCTTTGTGGCAAATGAGTTGTTTTCATGAGTGTAATGTTTGACTGGAAAATCTGTGAAAACTTCATAGCACAGCTCCCCTTCTCCCCCCTCTCCTTCTGCTGATGGAGTTTTATGCTTGTGCCATGGCCAGGACTCTTGCTGTTTCTTACCTCTAGTTGCTGGTCCATGCCAGGAGCATGCTCGCCTTCTCTGAGGGGATTATTCCTCTGCTGAGGAGCTGCCTCAGTCCTTCTTAGTGCTCTGCCTGATACCATTTGGTGGGCTACAACCTAACTGTAAGGGTTACTTAATCCTCTCTGTGCTTGTTGGCGTGGCGGAGTGGACTAACCTCTTGTTGGCATGGCCCCAGGCTGCATCCAGTTCAGACTGTGCACGTCATGGCTTTTAACTTTTTCAGGTAGGTAAAAAGTATTTTGCTTCAATGAAAGTTCAGATTTTGTATTTCTGAGCTAGCAGTGAAATTCACAGTAACTTGCACAGCTGCCAAGTCATGAAATACAGAGCCCTGGCAAACAAGATTGTGAAGAGTTACGGTGGGTTTGGACATGGATACATGCTTTATGGTGAGATTACGCTGTTGGAAATATTCTTTTGGCTGTCACTAATTTAAGGAATCATGCATAGAGTTGAACAGAGTTAGGTCTGTGGCAGTCTCATTTCATGTCCTAAAGCACAACCTCGCTGGTATCTGGAAGTGTGACCCTGATTCTGTACCTGTTAGTTACGATGCAGGCTCTCTGGAAGATGAGAATATACAACTTATTGACAGATCATAGTATAGGTGACTAAATGCAATTATGTATATTGAAATACGGCATCAATGAAAGGTGGTATGAAGTATGCAAGGATGATTTTCAAAAGATGATTTACATGGTCATATTTCCAAGGCCAGAGGCTTGGAAAAGGTCAGTGCATATCCATAGGAAAGCTGGAAAACAGGTTTAGGAGGAAGAATAAGGTGTATATGTGTGTTCACGTAATATGGGTGTTCTGGAAAACATTCTTTGGATTTGCAACTTGCCTGTTTATATACCTTGCTTTCTCCATTCAGTCCCAACAAAACATGCTGAGATTTTTACTTCTCTGATGCATCAGTTGTTGGAGAGCTCTGACGGGTATCTGAGGCTCTCCTCATCTTCTTTATTCTGTCTGAACAGTAGTGCAGCAGTGACATTGTCAGACTGATGACCTGCATCTTACTTGCTTCAGGTGCTACATGAATGGCTTGGAATGGAGAACAACAGAAAAGACCTTCAGTTTGGGACGCTGTCTCAAACACCCCCCAAGCACACAGTAGCATTCACAGAAGCGGAATTTATAGCCAAATACTTGTAATAAAGCAGCAAAAACAGGGGTGAGGTTTTAACAGGCAGCAGAGACAACTGATGCAAAATAATTCTTATGAAAGTAAAAAAAGTCACTCTTTAGAACACAAAGCTACTCCACTCTCTGTAGGCTCATCAGAGATGGCTTGTTGCTGGAGGCTTAGGTCTGTGTGGCGTGTCACTCTTGCTTTCTTTTCTTTGCTTTTCATATAATGGATGTGACTGCTGTCATCTGAATTGTTTACAGCACGAAATAGATATTCTGTCCTGTGCTCGGGTCTCTGGAGCCACCCTCGATGCAGTGATAGGTGGTGTACTTCTTGTCCAGTGTTATGTCATTGCGAGAGATGGGGGATGAGTCACTTCCCTCGCCGGCAGTGATGACTAACCGCTTCTCCTTCGGGAGCAATGACACGCTGAAGCTACCGCACCAGCCGTTAGGCACGCAGGGAGTCATCACCTCAAATCCGCTATCTGCTGACTACATGATGTAAAAACAATTTATTAAGTCATGTGATTAAAGGCTTTTATGGCTCATAAGGGAGGAAGGCTTGTAAGAAGGTAATAAGAAACAGAAGTATTTAGTTTTCCACCAGTTTTCCCAAAGTTGTGCTGCTTCTGAAATGTAAATCAGAAGAGATTTGTATACAAGGTTTCAAAACTTGTCTTATAAGAGTTATGAGGATTAAGCTATAAAAACAAGTGCTTACATAAGATTTTCTTAAAGAATAAGGCATATTTACAATCATGTATGTGCAATTTCTTCTAGTGTACATGTCTTAAAGTTGCATAGAAACCTCTTGTTTTATTAACAACACCACATAAAAGACACTCAGAATTAGTGCTAGATGCAAAATGGTTGTTTGTTTGTTTGGGTTTTTTTGTCTTGTAAAATTTCTGGGAATAACATGGAATATTTCATTGTGAAGTATAGTTGAGTTTATGGGAATATCTTAAAGAAGAAGTAGACAGCCTGTAATCCAGATCAGACTCCTACCTTTGCAATAAAAATTCCCTTAAAATTGCATTTGAAGCTCTGCATTAAACTGGTGGTGGATCTACGCTTGGTACAAAATGGCGATGTCGTGGATGTGAAGGTGTTATACTGTTCTCTCCAGGTCCTGAGTCATGCCTGAGGTCCTGACCCTGATTATCTGAGACTCTTTCCCAAATTTTTGAGAAGTGTTGGCTCATCAGTATAACACGTTTTTAAGAGGAAACACCCTAGTTCTGAGTAAATTTTTGTAATTACAGATCCGAGATCAAATTTTGGATTGAGGAAGAGACCAATGTGGTGGTTCATGTCTGTAGTTGGGATTCAGGAAACCCAAATTTAAGACCAGGACAGCCAAACAGGTTTCACAGAACAGTTTTAGTTGTTATTCCTGCATTTCTACGAAAAATTGATGTTCCAAGAATAAATGTGTGCCATTTATGTCACAGTATTACAGATACTGTGTATAAATACTGATGGCAATAACAAAAAGAATAGTTTTCATCTTCCTGTCTTTTAGTACTTTGTTAGCAGCATTCTGGTTTCAGGCTGGTCATTATCTTGGCGGTTTGATCTTGAGAGACAGCAGTTATGAATAGGGGTAGGGATAGAACTGCAACTCTCCTGCCGAGAAGGAAATCTCTTCCTGATTGAAGCCCATAACAAAACTCCCATCAACTTCAAAGGAGAAGGATTTCAAGCACAGCAACCTGAATGCATCTGAAATCCACTGTTGGGCGGTTTGGAAAGGTCAAGGGTTTTTTTAAAGATTAGTAAAGGAAGAGAAAAAGAATGAGAACAAATCGTGACTAGCAAAAGAGAAGAGGAAGTTGACAGCTAAGTTCACAGTTTGTTGCTAAATCTGTGTTTATTAAGGAAGGTGATTTTGTGAAAGCTAATTTAGGCATTCAGCTGGCTTGGGTATTTCTGTTTAAAATGAGAATGGGATTATTTTTGCTTTGTTTTGATGTTGTGGAAACAAATATCTAAGATTTGGTTGTCACATACAGTATAGCACTATTGTGGCTGTTTACTTAACTAGCATATTCTGTAGAGAGAAGCCAAAATTTCCCAGCAACAGCACCTGCTAAAAGTTTTTAACTTAAATATTTCAGAACTTCCAGTCTCTGTGTGTTGCTCATCTGTGTTATGAAAAAAAATAGTCTTCAACAAGAAGTGTGTAAAATTTTATTTTAAAATTAAAATATTTTAAAACCTTTTGCAAATGAGAGACTAAATGAGAAATGAAGGTTTAGAGATTTTGACATGAATTTAGTGCTCGCTTAGTATATACACCAGGAGTTTCATTTGTAGTCTTGATATTTAAATCTAGCCTCTAAACTCCAGTGACACCTCATATCCTGACTTGAATGTTCAACAACGGAAAAATATCCCGAAATGTCAGTTTTGTTTCTCTTTTCCATACTGGAGCAAACTCGAACCTTAGCAGAATTATGAATTTTGGGAAGTTTAAGGGGTTTATTATGTTAAGGGAGCATAACTTCCATCTTAAAGCCACAAATGAACTCATTAGATGAATGTCTGCCTTACGAGTCTCTGGGGAGCATGCACGCAGTGTAAGACATGCCCTCTTCATGGATGAGCTGGGAACTGGCCTGAGTGCCAGGTCCGAGGGGAGGGTTTGGGGAGGGGAGGCCAGGCTGCTGCCGGAGCTGGCAGCGCTCAGCTGCAGGCTTGGAGGGAGCGTGAGCTTCAGAGTGCTCAAGAAACCGTTTGGTACTCTATCAGGGCCTCATAAACTACATCTTGGGAGGGGGATGATGGTTAAAACAGATAAACGGAAGCACTGTGCTGCTCATCCTAGCTTCTCTACCTCATTTTTTTTTTTTTTGCCCACTTGCTTACACATCACAGTTGAGTAATGTTTGCAAAGCGACAGGAATGCTGAGGCTGCTCTTGTGCTATTCATGTCTTTGCTGTCAAAACAAGGAAAACTGAACCCTAAAAATGAACCTGGAGCTTGTAACTCCTTGTGCAAGAGCAGATTTGCATCACTATTTTCCTTATTACTTCCCTTTCTGTTACTTCTCAGTTTCTTGTTTGTAAATCACTCCAGCAGAGTAAATGGGACGCGGTACGGATGTAGCAGCACATCTTTAGCTGCACTAGGCCCTAAAACTGAGTTCATACCAAGGGCCCAGCTCCCTGAATTCTGTAACTAAAATGTTGCTTATCGATTTTGATGTTTGGCAATAAAACACTTCGAGCCTTCCGAGGGCCTGAAGTGACTGAAGTCCATACGCTGTTGAAGACGTTGCTCCAGGAAGCTCACTTGGGATACTGGTGTGAAGTTTTAATAAGTCTGTTATGGCGTGGACCTGATTCAGCAAAGCACTTTGATTTGAGCATGTGCTTAATTTTGTCATGACAAATAGTGACATACTTCAAGTTCTCATACGCTTTCCTGAGTGGAACTCTGGACTGACACGGTTTAAGAAGCAATGTGGAGAGAAGTTAGGAAACGTTTATGTAGTGAAAGAAGATGGATTTAAAATAAATGTGTGAACTGGAGCAAAATTCATAATCGGCATTATGCATTTGCACCACAGAAAAACTATCTTTCCAAAGGATATCAGAGGTGCCTGTTTCTAGGAAGTAATTTAAACATGAGCTTATAGCCTGCAAGTACACTTGATGTAACTGGTATGTATTAGTGGCTATTAAACCATGGAGATTTGTGCTACTAATAGGATTTGTTTCTCCTGTTAGAAAGATGCTGGGTAGAGGGGGTCTAGCACTATGGCTCCTCCCCTCTCCCTCTACTCCCCATCTGTTTCTATTTTCTGAGGGAAGGAGGATAGAAATAATAAAAGTGGTGTAAACTTCTGCGTTTCTAAAGCTGCTCAGTATTCATTTTCAGCTGACTAGAGAAGTAATACTGTCCCAAACATAATTTCCATCTACAGATCAGTTTGACTGAGATTCAAGTACATATTCATGTTGATAGAAAAAGAAAATAAAAAGCTGCTTTTGATTCAAATAGTCATGACTTTGAGAAGTGTGGCTTGGGTTAGCTTGTTCTTCTCAGATTTAAAGAAGCAGTTTGCAGTATGTCACCAACAGCCAAGTTACTGTTATTACTGATTTGTAATGTCACTTCTCCCACTTCTCCTCTAGGTGTTAGTACCTATCCTAAGCAATAAGGGAAACCATACATCCTAGCCAGGTTTCATTTCCCAAGACTTAGAGCATCATGTAGAAATCATGAAAAAGAAAACACAAATTATGAAAAGACTGATGTCAGAAAGAACTCATCTTCCCATTCCCACAGTTGCAGCAAAGACTGCCTTGCATCAAATACGTGCCGAAAATAAGTGAGGAAAGACTACTGTGTGACCTATGCAATGTAGGAGGGGAGAAAAAAAAAAAAAAAGCAGCGGGCTGCATTTTGGTGATTTTTTCTTTTTTTTTTTAATTTGAGATGTAAACATAGTAAATTGAATTGAGAAAGTAATTAAATTCTTAGTGTTCCAAACATAATATTTTTATTAATCCATTTTTTCTAAGCATTAGAAGGTGTTTTAAAGTGTTTTCTGTGCAATTGATATATTTTAAACACTGTAAATGCTCTATCATATGAAAACATGAATTTCAATGACTTTATATTTTGGGTTTATTAATTTCAAAGGCAAGACTTAAGATGTCCATAGAGTCACCAGAATCTGGAATCACATGAAGGTATGTTTCCAGAGTACAAAATAAGGTTATTCTGTTGAGTTACCTTTTAAATGTGTTTCCAATAGATTGCACTTCTCTGTTGCCTTGAGTATTTAATGTGAACTGAACTCTTTTCATAAAAGGCGTCTTACTGTTTTCTGAGACTAGTACTAATCTCAAAAGATGGCATCAAAAATGAGTATGGCACTAATCATTGGGATGTGCATCTGTTACCTGTAGAAACACCAACAATAGGAACTATGTCCCAGGGAACTCACAGTTTAAGTAAACCAAAGGCTTGATTTCAGTTTAGGACTGACTGTATACAGAGAAGATTGATAATCAGTTCATGGATAAGTGAAGGTTTATAATCCTGTCAATAATAAATGATTTTGAAGGCCCTGGTTGGGGTCAGCTCCTTGCTGTACGTCATGGCACTGAAGCAGGTATGCCAGGCAAGTATGGAGCTAAAACTGAGGCAGAACAGATGAATTTGCTTGAAAGGACTGAATGGGGAAAAATAGTGTGAAAGGGAGAATGTAAACTTTAATGTGCCATTAATATTTTATTAGAATGCTTTGCTGTGTATTATTAGTGACTTTTTTTGTAAACACTGACAAAGTGTAATAAAAAATACATTACATTAAATAAAGTCTATTTGACGTTAACTATCAGCATTCATTCAAACACCAAATTACCATGTAACTTACTCATTAGGAAATTAAACAGTAAAGTGCAGATTTTTCACACTTGGAATAATTGCAAGGAACCATTCAAAGGATCTGCTGCCAGTAATTTCTGAGAGGGTGTTTGGCCATAGTTTTGTTTAGTAAATATATATGGAAGTGTGATCTGTGTCTTCATAAACAGCCTTTTAGCTCTGTCTTGAGGGTTTGTTCATATGATTTTCCTCTTTTCAGAACTAAATTCCAAATTTGTGGTGTTCATCCTTGAATGTAAAGGGGAATGGGGGGAGAAAAGCTCTGTACTATCATGGTACAGTACTTGCTTTGAAATTCAGGGGCTTTTTTCCTATTTTTCAGACAAGTTTCTAATTCCAGGGCAGCACTACATGCCATTGAATCAATAGTTATTGGGTGGTCACATCAGATTCATCACACTGTGTGTAGGGATTCTGCTGAACCTCTTCTGCATGGCCGTCATCTAGACCCCCAAACTGAGCTGAACTTCTGGAAAGCAAGAAAAGACAGTCTTTTATATATAAGTAAGCAAGTTAGTGATTTCAGGTGTTACGGTAGACAAGAAGAGCATGCTTTTGGCTTGCCTTTCTCTATGCACTCTGAAAAATGAGATGCCAAAATTATTTTTTGTGGTTTTATTTTTGCAGATAGCTTATAGTGGTTTCCCAAAGTAGGCAGACTTTACATATGGTACCAAATTAAAACAGAGTTAAACATTAGAGGCCAGTGAAAGTCAGTGATGAAGGGCTGTGTAGCTGTAAGGAATTCTGTTCTTCTTGTCCATGTTTTCTAAATTTCTTCCCATGACATTTCTCAAACTGTGGAGAAAATGAGGTTGAGAACAAAGTTTATATTTGGGAAATTATTGCCAAATTTGGCTATGAAACTGATACTACTGTTTAATTATAATAATCATAGCTTGTTATAAGTGAAACAGCTCTTTTTAATTGAAAAAGATATGCAAGGTTATTTACTTTTGAAATATAAAGTGTTGTTGGGAGCTGTGTTTAATCCTCTCTACTCCTTCCATGCTTGTTATTAGCAATGTTGTGATATCAGGTAAGTGAATATTATGTACAGGCCAGTTCATTCACCACTAAAAGCTTTTGGGGCCTTTCCATGGATTTCAGCTGGCATAGATCATCCTCTTTCTGCTTGAGACATATTTATTCATTAATTCTCTGAGTGCGGTTGTAAGTTGCTTGAGTTTGCCCTTCTACTTGTTTGACAGGTGACCATGATCTTTAATTGCATTCTTTCTACTTTGTTAAATTATAGCTTCAGAGTCCTGTTGTTCAAAAAATGATTAAGATCTCAAAAGCCAAAGAAAGCATCTATTATCCTGCTTCTCAGGGCATTTTCAAGGAAGTAGAAGACGGTAAGGATAGAGTGAATGAGATGTATATTTTGCCTATGTTTATATGTGTGTGTTACAGAATAATCTGTAATTTGTCTTGACATAACATGATGGTAAGATATATCAGGGCTTCCAGGGCATACACATATTAAGTCAGGATCCTTTGTGTGCTGAGCTGCTTCATTATTTGGGTTTTTTTGTTTGGTTGGTTGTTTTTTTGTTGTTGTTGTTGTTTGTTTGTTTGTTTGTGTTTTTTAAACTTTATGTGGATACATTTCCTGTCATAAAAATAGGTGAGAGATACAGCAGTAGCAAAATCAATTAGTATGTGCATTTTTTCAGCATCGCTCCAGATTCTTTAGCTGCAGTAAATCTGTAGACAGATAAATTCTACTGCTAAAAGAAATTAAATAAGGCAGTTAGCAATAAAGAAATATTTAGCTAATATATTACTTCCTATATAAAATTAAATTTTAATGGAATGTAGTGAAATGACAGCTTCTGTAATGTTATTCCGTTTATGATAAACTATCTCTGCAAACAGCTTACACTCACAAGTACAGTCTTGCCTAACTGCAACCTAACTGCTCGTGTGAGTCTGAATCCTCCCTGTGTCATCCCGTGCAGCAGCCCAGAGCAGGCCTGTTGTGCCTTCTGCTGAAGGGCAAAATACCACAAGCTTCTGCAGTCCATGAAAAGAAATGAGTTGTCAGTGTTTGTTAAACATCCAGCTTAAAGCAAATGTGGAGGCCTCTTTCTCTCTGATGAAAACCACCGAGCCATTGAACACAGCACTGGAAGGTGCAGTGGAGCACACAGCCCTTTTCAGAATGTCAAGATGCACTTGCCTCTCGGTGCCAGATTAGTCAGGAGTATTAACTGATACCATTTGACCTTTTGTGATCAGATCTGGCCTGTCCAACGTACATCCTCCTTAAAATGATTGAAGAATTGAGAATATTTTTCTTTCATTCCAAGCTAGAATTGCACATCTCCGTGACCTGGGTATCTGCAATGATTCCTGCTTCTCCTTGGTCTGTTTGGCAGCAGTGAGAGGAACAACAGGCTCGTTATGGAAAGGTGTTAAGCATCCTTAACTACCAGAAGTGGAATGGGAACCATTCTAGTCACTTGACGAGCCTCCATGCACTTTCATGAGAAATCTTTGGCTGAAACATGCTGTGAAAACCTACATATCTTTCTCTTTTAAATAAATGAAGCATGACTTTGCATTCCTCATCAGGGCTAGGCTAGTTTGGAAACTATCATCTCTTAAACTGTAGCATTTTTCCCTTTTATATTTTTACAGCACTTGTAGAAGTGAAAGATATTGATCTGCATCTGAGACCATGGGGAAAATACATTCAGCTGTTTCGAGAGAATGAATTCCCAGAGATCTGTAATTTAATCCCACCTTTATTTCACTCCTGATATGGAGCCACTCAGAGTTCTACAGCATGCCTGTGTGAATAGTAGTTCTGCTACAGGAGTTTTGCAACTTGCTTATTGACCAGGTAGCTTCAAGTAAGGGTAGTAAACCACATAAGTACCTAATAAATACATGTTAATTGATATAGAGTACACCAATAGCAAAGACATTGAATTAATCTGTCTGTTAGTTGTCTAATAAACACCATAATTACATTATAGATACTTTCAACGAGTATTAGATTATTAAATTAGAAGTCGAGCTGAATAATTGCTCATCAGCTGTATCATTCACATACTTTGTATTTAAGAATGAAATATGCTTCTTGTCTAGTGAAAGAAAAATATTCTTCAGAAGTCATATAATCTTTTCGGGTTGGGTTGTTGTTTCTTACAGCAACAGGTGGTAGGTAAGTTTGCTGCCTCTTTTCTTACCATGTTTCTTGGTAGGTATTTCCTTTCATGAATTTCAAAATGCTGGTAGGAGCTACTCAAATCAAGAAAATAGGGGGGTTGCAAACAAGCTGTGAATGAACTGCCTTGATGCATTTTTCTGTCTTCCTGTCATCAGTAAGCTTTCCTGATGCTTCCACTGAAACTCGCTGTTTTGGTGGGAGTATGAGAACTTTTAAATGTTGGCAAGCAAGGCCATTCTGTAGGATTCACTTGTGGAGGCACTCCTGTGGGCCAAGGAACAGGAGAATTCCCTTCAAAGCCAGCCTGTTGTATTTCCTAAATGGTGACCACAGTCCTCCTTCGGGAAGAGCAGGCAGCCAGGCTCCCTGACGTCCCCTGCCAGCGGGGACGAGTGTGCAGCTTCCAGGGTGACCTGTGACCAGGGAGTGAGAGGAGACACCTGGTTCTTTTCTCCTGAAAGAAACAACTCATGGGTCATGTTTATGGAAGTAGGAGGAGGCTTGGCAGGGCTGTGGCTGGACAGGAGCCCCCTGCGTGCACCTGGAGGATTAAATCCGCTTTCTCTGTTACAAGCTTACAGCGGTATCGAAGTGGTGAGAGGGTACGGGGTGCCTCACTCTTTTTTCAGGGGAAAAAACTGTGGTGTGAACATTTGTGTGCTGGAGGCATCCTCTTTCTGGCAGGATGGGAACTGGATGCTTAGATATGTGCTTAGATTTACTTAAATTTGTACTTAGAAGTGCTTAGGTTTGCTTGGGAAGAAAACTTGTTCTGAAGAAATCATTGTTTCCCGTGTCACACATTGCTACACTAGCAGATTTTCCATTTATTTTCATTTTGTCAAACATCTGTTCTATACGGCAAGGCCCCATTTGCCATTTCTTTGACTTCACACCATCTCCTTCCTCCTGTGTTTAAGCTGGGCATTAACAGGCTGACATAAAGTTTTCACTGAAATTAATCTGAATGCCTGGCAAATTATTGCTGTCTGTTAGAAGGCAAGTACTGATGAATGACAGAGCCTGTGCATTCTGATGTCATCCCAAAATAGGAGGTTTCGAAGTGGTGCCAAAAGGTTTGGACAGAGCCATATATTTCTTAGTTTGCAAGGTTTGGAGAAAGAGAGGTCGAGAAGTACCTAGGAGGGGTGGCAATGTGAAGTAGAAGACTATGGCAGGGGGGAGGGGAACAGAATGAAAACTGTGACCAGGTAGAGGTTTTTGTTTCCCCACACACCCTTCTCCAGCCAAATGTGTTTGTATTGCATTAAGTAAAGAAATTAACATCATGTGTTTGATGCAAATCTGCAATAAATGTAAATTATGCCAGTTCTGGATAAACTGATGAAACAAGAAGAACAGAAAACCTATAGTCCCATCCTCATCACTGCTCCCCCCACCCCACCTTACTACATGCAGACCCTGTTATCCATGGATCCTGGTTCTCCCTTTCAGGTTATTCATGTTACTGTCCAGGATTTTACATTAGGTATGCATGTGTTCTAGGTTTGATTCTGGGTTTGGGGGAAGCCCTCTTCCGCTAATTTACTAAATGGAAGAAGTAAGGAGGACTCATGTTGTCAATTCTGTATGTGCTGGCACAGCATATGCTACATGAGAATTACTGCCCAAAGGCTATGGAGGTGTTATGGCAAACAGGTGAATAAATTTCCAGTATCATTTTTATTGGGCAGGAAGAAGTCCATTTACTCTATTTCCTGAATGTTCACTATACGAAAAGTGATACGTAAGGGTCAGCCTAGCTGGAGGGATTTGTAACAGGTTAAACATACTTTGGGAGCATCTCAAAATTGAGAGTTGCATTATGAGGTAATTGACAAACTAGAACAGTTAGAGATAATTTTTAAAAATAATATGTATTTTTTGTGTTCATATATAAAGGAGAAAGTAAAAATGACTGATGTCATGACTGCATTTTAAAAAGTTACTTTTAAAAACTTTTTTCTTCTGCTGTTCATTTATTTACATTCTAGTCTAAGTTGTATCTTTCACCAGAAAATGTTTTCAAGGGAGAAACTGAAGAAGCACTAAGGCATGTGAAAATAGCTAAAACTGCCTTAAAAAACTTTAAGGCTTCATTCTTTCGTCACAGAAACAGACTGGAGAGTTACTTCGCCTTTGGCAAGGGATTTAAACCATGAGATTTCAGATCTGAAATGGTTTTCCAGATTTTTTATGTTCCTCAACATCTTACTGAAGACTGACGTATTCCTCATCATCTATGTTGCTGGACAAATATAGTATCTGAGAAATACAGGCTATTCTCAGTTATACAGACAGCAAAACTCAGGTTTCTAATATTCAGAATTCCTGCATAGGAAGAATTAGGAGTGTTGAATGGGATGAAAATATTGCATGCTGTGCAAGGAGCAAACTAGTACTAGCAGTAAGAAAAATGACAAATGTTTTTCCTAAATCCAGCCCTTCCCAGGGTTTTGAAAGTTGCTGGAGTAAAATGCTACTCTTCACATGCAGCCCATGACTGGGGCTTTCTCCTGAGCATGGCACCTGCCTCTGTTTTCTCCTAAGAACTGGGGAGTCATCTGTTTATAGCTATTAAAAATGTGGTGGTTTGGGCTAGTTCTTGGATGAGGCAGAATAATCTTCACCTCCCCTTTTAAATCTGTGCCAACAAGAAAGGGAAGATGAAAAATCTGAGGTCAGGAGAGGAGTGTAGCATATTTTTCTAATATTGTGGTGAGGTTAGTTCTGTAGGATGGGAGCAGTCATGGCTTCTGGTTCCTGCTCCTGGGGCCTGTTTTTTATGGTTTCCTGAGCCTGGAAGCAGTTGCAGTAGGAGTCTAGACTGGCTGCTGCTTCGGGGGCCCTTCTGGGAAGTGGGAGATTCATTCTGGGGATCCGAGCTGGAGAATTATGTACTTTAGCTCCGCAGTTACTTAGCTAGCGTGCTTCTCCATCCCACCCCTTTCAAATAGGATGAGAGTCAGAAATCCAGTCTTGCGGTGCCTGACAGTGCCCACCAGAGCAATCCCTGACGGGGATTTGGGGTGGATGCAGCGGCTCGTGGCTGTCGGGCAGGTCGAGGCGCTCTGGCTGGGGGGGTAGCTGGAGGTGCTGGGGGGGCAGCCGCCCGCTGTGCCAGCAGTTTTCGCAAGCGCGGCTGCTGGTGCCCATCAGCAGCATCACGTACGGCCACGGCACGTGAACTGACTGTCGCTGACAGCCCCAGCTCTTGGCAAGCGGAGGGGCCCGCTGGGAGCCCTGCCCTGGGCAAGCGGGTCCCTGCCGGGTGAGGGGGCAGCCGGGCGAACCCCCCGTAGGTCGTACTCCTGAGCAGAGGGGTCTGCAGTCCACCGGGAGCCTGCCCGGGGACCCCGCCGCTGGTCTGCTCCGCTGAGGAGAAGAGGTGCTGCGTGTTTCTAAACAGACAAGGAACCGGTTATTTTCCTCCCTTTGGGGCATGAGACAATTACTTCATTCAAGTGAAATCAGAGACCATAGAAATTAATCTGGCACGTGTTACAAAGGAGGTTAAAGTGGGTTCAGTTCCACTCCTCTGAGAAAGATTTATGTTTAATTTTCATAGCAACATTTTGTGCTATAGTAATAAATCTTGTGTTTATACATGAAAGTATGTGCTTAGTAGTGTTTGCTCTTTTTTTATCTAGGCCTTTTTTAACTTAATCTGATAAAATTAAAATGGAGTTAAATTTGTATGTTCAATGGGACAATTCGTTTCCACTTGTGTTTTAATCCTGTGACTCAACCAGGATAAAGCCTTGCTGGAATTACCTGTTGCTCCTTCACTTTTTTTTTTTCCTATTAATTATTTTGAGATGGCAGAGATTTCAACCTCTCATTCTGCCAGACTGGAAGAGAGGGGGTCAAGTGAAGCAAAAAACCACCTCAAATATCAGGTTTGTTACAGGTTTTTGTAGAGGAATACTGTTAATTAGTTTTTATTTATTTGACCTAGGAAATTTTCATTATCATGTTGGAATTTCAAAAGCTGAAAAAGCTGGAGCTTGGTGGAATCAAGGGGAAAATTTTACGTGAGCAGATCTGCAAAATGAATGAAGAGTTTCTGGAAAGCTGTGAGGTTTTCAGAAAGAGAACATATGATCGTGGTAACATTGTACCCTGCACACAGGCGTTTGTGCTGTTATTTCCTTGTTTATTTAAAAGTATCTGTGAACTTGGAGGCTGTGAAACTGGGAATTTTATAGTGCTGAATGGAACTAGGCATGAGATAGACTTCCAGCACAGCTGGGTTCAGTGTCTACCAGTTCTTCTTCAAACCAGGAATTAATTTTCTTAAGAAAAGATTTCTGGATGCTTTCTCCTGATCAGATGGCTGAATTATTTAGAAGTGCCACATGTGGAGAAGCATTCAGATTGCTCTCACCAAAGAATTTGAGTGAATAAAATAAATTTGTACAAAGAGGAATAAAATCCCCCACCAACATTGTCCAAAATTTAAAAAAAAAGAAAAAAAGTTAATTATTGACATACAGTATACAGAACTGGCAGTCAGTTCTATAAGCTTTTTTTCCTGAGTGTTAGGATGTAATTTATATACAGTTCTCATGTAAATAATAAATCAACACTACTTGAAAGAAAGAGGTTTTTAAAATGTTGGTATATACTGATGTCTCACAATAAAAACTAAAATAATTCCTAACACTGTGATCGCTAACAATCATGGTACATATATAAAACAAGTAATAAAATAAAGAATGTTTATTACTGTTCTTTTCATAGTTTGGTGTGTTTTTTTGGTTTTTTTTTTTTTTTTTGTAATTTTCAAGACTTCATTGTTAATTCATAGCTGTAAGTATCAGTAAGCTTGGAAGATGGCGTTTTCTGAAGAATTTAATCCATTTTTAGCATAAGTGCAAATAAAGAAGTACCTTATCATGTCATGTAGCTGGCTTTGCTGCGTGCTGGCTGGAGCACTCGGCTGCCTTCGGCACGGGCTCCGGTCCCAGTGCCCAGGATGCTTCCAGCCTTAGCCTTGGGCAGCCCAGCACAGGGGGGAAGGCAGAGCCCCAGCTGCTCAGCCTGGCAGGACGGCACCAAAATTCCTGCTCTTCTCCTGCCTTTATACCCTGTGGCTTTGTGGAGCAGGGCATCGTTTCTGAGAGTGAAGAGGTATTGATTAAATTCCTGTAGAAGGGAGGAGGCTGGAGAACCCAGGTCTGGCCCCTCGCGGGTGTGTGTCCCAGCCAGGGGGAGGAAAGGCAGCAGTGGGGCGGGGGGCGAGGCACCACCCCTGCAGATTTAATGGGTGCCCCATGATGACTCTTCTTTTCTGTCCTGGTCCAAAAGATCACCATCACTAGCGGGATTCAATCACCCCAAACAATCTACATTTTAAAACATACTTTTTCTAACCTGTTTGCTGACTGAACTTCATTTAAATGAAATTCTTCTCTATTGGACGACCAATTTTTTTAATTTTTTTTTTTTTTTTTACATTTTTTTTTACATTTACACCCACACATTCCTCCCCCCCACAAAACACCTCAGGCCAGCTGAATCTTCTAGGTGTGTCCCTGCCATTTCCCTGTGCTCCTGACACCTGTGTACCCACAAGCCATACTGGGTTTGCACAGACAACTGGGGGGGTGGGCTCAGCCTCCCTGGGGGTGCAAGCTTTGCTGGCCTTCAGGAGCTTGGGCCTACTGCATGGTATTTCTGGCAGTGCATTAATGAGAGAGAGCTCTGCGTGTGCAAGGAACACATAAATTGGGTAAGATTTAAGAGGCAAATTTTCTGAAGCAGACCCAAATCTTGAAGTTGTTATTATTAAAATAATATATATTAATTAGCAGAACATAGAAATTTACTGTTCTGCTAGATGGGGTAGGAAATATATTCTGTGTGTATGCACACTGATTTTTTTTTTCTTGCAAATACATGGCTTGATCTAGGTAATTAAAACCCCAGAGGAATGGTTGTAAACCAGATTTGAAATAAATGAATGGCACAGGTTTCCTTCATGCAGAAGTCTTGCAAAGTTGTTAATGTCTTTGGGATAAAATCCTGGTACTGCTTTAAAATCCGTAACAAAGTTTCCCATGTCTTAAGGTCAGGATTTGCTATGCTGTAATCCTGTACTTCTAAATTTCATTGCTCCTGATAAAATCCCTTATGATTCACACTAAATTCCTGCTAATCCCTGCACAAAGCTACAAAGCAGCCTCCAAAGGGAGAGGTGAGTGGCAGTAGAGACCTAGTGATGCTGTCTTTTTTTTTTTTTTTTACCTTTTTTTCCTTCTGAGGCAGCAGGGTGCTCTGAAGAGTCTTTGTCTGTGCAAGATGTGGTTTCAAGACACCTTTTCTCAGGTTTGTGTATAGTTTGCCTCATTTTGCCTTTACTTCTGTGAAGTTTTCCCTGCATACTTGTTTATATGAAGGCAAATGGTGGTGAGATGTTTGAATGACTGTTTTAAGCTGCTAGTTAAAATACAGCAATTACTGTATTTGGCCAGACTAGATTGAAAGATGGTTTGAGCTGATCTGTTTTTAAGGCAGTGAATCCTTGATGACTTTACCGACTTAGGACAAAAGCAACCTTTCTAGCGTACTTCTGAACAATAATTCTGCATTGTAAGCTTGTTGACTTTGCAGCTTATTGCCAAGTGAAGCATAGTCAATGGGTATTATTTTCAGTTTGAGCCACTCTCACCCAGGTATGCTGGCTTAGTGTTGACAGAAGAAGTAAAAGTGGGATACCAAGCTGTCATCGCTAATTTTTTTTTTTTTTTTTTTTCCCCAGGTTCATCACAAACTATTTGCCTTTGGGTTTGACAGTACTATTCAGGAGCTTTTTCAAACAATAGCTGTCATCTTATCTTTAATTCCTTTGTCAGAAGCTTCAAGGTTCATGCTATTCACTGTATGACATATGAATAGTGTCCACGTATTTCCAGGAACAAGTTTTACATGCTTCTGAATAGACAATATGTGATATGTGTTTGGTTAATAGGTGGGTGGAATTGCCCAAAATCCAGAACAGAGCAGTGGTCTGGTTTGTGGCATGACAAAGGATTCTGACCCCTGACAAAGGATGCTTAGCTTTCAGGGCACAAATGCGGGCTTCTCAGACTGGTTGTCTGAAATGGATCCTTGATGTGTTAAATGTATATATTTTTAAATACATATCACATGCAGTCACAGAACTAAATCTGAATTTCTCTGCTAAGGAGAAGTGCATGTAGTTCATCCAGTCATGTGTTTTGGGTGTATATGTGTGGGTTTGTACAGAGTGTTTAAAAAGAAACCCAAACAAACAAAAAACACATTAGTTGAGGGGAGAGGGGGCTAGAAAAGAAGACTGTTAAATAAAGAAGTTAATTTCATATGCCATTTCCAAAGATTCTGGATTTTATTTAAATGCCCACCTTGACTACTGGTACTTCTATTTTAATCTATTTTTCAAGTGGCTTGCATCAGAAAAGAGATGCAGCCAAGCTGTAAAGAAAAAAAGATTTCCTCAGAGATGATCAATGTTTAATATATTTAACAAAGGAACAAGTGTTGTTTTACGTGTACACGTTACTGTTTGTGTTGCTAAAAGGACAAAGCAGAACGTGTGGGAGATCTCCCTTTAGAGCCAGCATTAATATGCACCTGTATTTTCTGCTCTGGTATGATTTTTCCAAAAGTCCTCATCTGTGACCATGGTTAATTACTTTGCGTATTAATAAAGTACAGCTGCGCTATAGGAAATGACCGTCGTTCTGTTATCTAATACATGTGGTAGCTGCAGATTCTTAAGATAATCTAATCAAATGTAACAGTGGGTCAGAGTCAAAAGATAGTGTTTACATAGTGAGCTTAAGTATTTGAGTAGCTGAAGTTTGATGCTCACAATATCCTCTTTAATGATAATACGCAGAAATAATTTGGGCTTGTAAAAACTTGTTGAGAAGTTCTTTGTTTAATGCAAGGGTTAACAGAGTGAAACAGCATAAAAGTAAGGAGTAATATTATATGGCATAGATGGCTGTGCCAGATAGGCATTAGGCTCTTACCTAAACAAAATATTGTAATAATTTCTTTCCTTGAATATCTGTATCACTAGTATGTACATGTATTGATCTTGCACTAGTACACACACGCACAGATCTTACAATGTTATTTAAAAATAATCTGTAGTGCACAGCAAGTGCTTCAGTCGTTAACTCGGTTTCTGTAAAAGAAACAAACCAAAAGCATCACAGTTAGATTGCATAGATCATAGTTCATCAGTTAAAGTAGGACTGAAAAACCTGAAATACAGTTTGTTCAGTGAGAGATCTGAGCTGTGTTTAGCATAACCATATGTTGCCCATTAGCTTTTCTTCCCATTGGAAATACATGCATTTTGTACAGTTGTGGGTGTGTTGGTTGTTTTGTTTTGTTTTGTTTTGTTTTTTAACATTACAGGAGTTTGAAGATGATTATACTTAATTTAAAGCCGAACCCCCTGGATCTGAACAGATGTCTTGCCTCAGTTCTTTGTGTAAGATTTCATGACTGTTCAAGGTCACTACCCATACACATGAAACTGTTCTTCATTTATTATTAGAAAAATAGTTTTGTGCATTACTTAAATTATACTTTATATCTAGGTAAGCTATTTGTGAATTGAATGCCTCGGAATACTGACTAACATGTATTTCAGCTGCAGAACCAAACTGAGTTCTTGGATTCTGTTCTCATTTTAATGATGATCTGGTCCTTTTTGGAAGTTAACCCATAGCTAAGGCCAGATCTAAAACTAAATTCAAAGAAACTGAGAGATTCCCTGATGACTAGCAATCTGTATTTGCACTTGACTGCACAAAGCACAGAGAGTCTCCTGGATGGCAGATGTATCCAGGCTCTCCATCCAGTGTAGCATATAGTTAGCCTGGGTAGTTGGAGTGTGTTTCTGCATCAGTACGTATTATTTTTAAGCAGGAATAATTAAAATGTAAGATAGGGAACAACTGATTAGAAACAGTTCTTCAAAATACGATTTAGGAGTTGTCCTACGTAGAACCTGAGTATGTGATGTCATGTTATTAAGAAAGAGGTAAGTATGTAAGATGTTCAAATGGGTGATTGTCCTGAAAGGCACAAGGAGAATTCTCACATTTTAATCACCCCCGATGAGGCCTCCAATGGAGTATTGTGCCCAGGTATAATAAGCATTACATTTCAGTAAAGATCATCTGTTGATGGTTATTGAGGCTGAAGAAGAAAAAACAGAGAACAGACATAAATCTTCGAATGCATTAAAAACTTCTGCGTACAGGAAGGAAGGAGTC